GGACTACCATTTTCAGTTTTTCAGGTATCAAGTCCTATTCAATGGCTCTCACCCACCCCATCTTCCAAATCACTAATCCTCCTGCCCTCTTTACACCTATACCCTCAGATAGGACACCTTTCCTGCACATATAACAACACTAACAGCTTTTCAGGCCATCTTCATCCCATTCAGTCCGACTCTTTGTCTCTCTGCAGGAGAAATCTGTCCACAATAGGGTGAAGAAGGATAGGACATGTGGCCTGATGGCTGACATTTATCTCCTCACCTCAAACAAGGAAAGAATCCTTGAGCTTATAGGAGAGGATAGAGACCGCTCACTGTGGTCATACTGAGACTCCATATCCCAGCAACCAAGTAACATTCATTGGGATATACTGCAGTGCTTCCCCTTACCACTACTGTGAATGTATTCTTAGAGTGCTCAAGTTTCTACCCCTACTGAGCAACTCATTCCTTCGCTTATCTCCTGCAGGAACCCAGGGCATCTAAACAGCTTTCTCCCATAAGAGACCAGACCCTCTGGTCACTTGCTCCTCCTCCACAATTGATGGAGAAGCCACTGATCCCTCAGAGGAAGCAGCAGCAAGGCCGTCTCCTTGACCTTTGCACAAGCTCAGATACTTTCACTTTAGTGACTACATTGTTAACTAGATTAGACTCAGAAGCCCATTCCAGTGAGCAGATATATCCACAGGACGAGGAAAAAACACCCCAGATTACTGGTAGTCAAAGCACTGTCAGAAACCAGATACCTGCTCAACTCCATCCAAGAGAGAACTCATGGTGTCAGAAATTAGTAACTTCATAAAAATACACACACACAGAAGCTGCAGATAAGTATATTAGAAATACTTGGTAAACGGGTCGAAAGTTGGAAGAATCTGGCAACACTATTTATACTGTTCTGAGGAAGGGTCACCAGAACCAAAACATTAAGTCTGATTTCTCTTCACAGATGCTGCCAGACCTGCTGAGCTTTTCCAGCAATTTCTGTTTTTGTCACTATTTGTACTGTGCTAGCTCTAGCATGAAATGTGACTGGCTGTCTCCATGATAGACAGGTAGCTGCCATGGAAATCTAGTTCGCAAGTTCCACTTCAGCAGATGACACAGTTTTATGACGGTGTACCAGGACATCCTCAGTCTGCTAGAGAAATGTATCTCACTCATTTGGAGGAAATGACAGTGAAGACAATAAACTCTGGGCCTCCTGTACCTTCCCTGCATCCTGACAGAACCACCTGATTGAACTTCCTATTGGGGCTCTTTGGCAGCAACTGGAGTTTGCTAATGCCTTTGTTCCTCCTCAATTTCCCTGTGCCTTCATTGTGCAGCAGCTACAGAAATGATACGACCTGCTGTGCCCAGGTCTGTTGTGGATAGTTTAAATGAGTCTTAAAGGGCATTATGAGATTAAAAAAACAGCCCTTGAGCAATGTGAACAGTCAGCAGTCATAGGACACACAAATCAGAGTTCACCGTAGTTTTCAATAAGTGGAACATAGAGACCTGCAACAAGGAAGGTCATGGGATGCCTCTACATAGACCCCGACACAGTTGATCTTTCTCAGAAGAAACAAAAATGTTTCTATTTTAGACCTTATTCAGATGTGTGCAACACAAGTCAGGTCGTGCAAATACAGTAAGAGATCATAAGTGTGGTGGAACTACTGAAATCTTTTCTGACCAACCTCCTACATTACCCAATAAAGGCAGCATTGCATATTAAAACATGTTGTGAAATATTTACAGTTCAATGCAAGAAGAAAGCAGCTCTGCCCTTGTGCAGCTTATGATCTTCGACTCTGTTTGGAAAATGTTAACTGCAAGTGGTACTTTAAAGGAATCACTTCTGTTTCACAGAGATTGGTAGGGTTAATTTGTAATGATCAATGGCATGACTGGGACTGGTGATCAGGATATGTAATCTACATAGTTGATCCCTGGATAATATACACATGCAGAATTTGTGATTGCAGATTTCTCTAGTCTGGAATTGGTGAATGCCTGATTAATGCAATTGGCCCTTGAAGAGACTCACATTGCACTTAAGTGGAACCTGCTCTCACAGACAAAAAAGCTTGTTCCACATACACATGCTGGCACCCATTTATGATTTTCATTGCACAGTTGAGAACTGGATGGAGATGGAGGCTTTATGTATTGTGGTGAGAAACTAAATAGTGTGCTCCCCCAGTTATTCTAGATGCACCCCCACCTTCATCTTTCTTTCTGCACTGCAGTCCCTATCAGCTCCATCAGGTTTAAGCGTTCCTATGCTCCACTCAACATTTCTCTTTAACGGTTTATCTCCCCTATATACCTCTCGATTCCTTTGCCCTAGCACTTAGTAATGCCTAACATAATGATACATTATTCCTCCCATTGAAGGATGGTGATGACTGTCAATGATCTTGCCCCTGAAGCACCCAATGCCTTCCCATGATATATCCTCTCCCACCCTACATGCAGAGTTATCCTCCTTCACAGTGATTGGCATCTCTGCACATCTCCTCCGAACCTTATATTTTGCTTGCTCAACATAGCACGCACCCCTGACAAACTCTTCTTGACGTTTAGTGCACAAACCCTCAGCAATGAATGTGGCTCACTCACCAACCAACTTTGGAAGACAGCCACAACTGATGGCAGACCAGACCCCTTACTAATCTCTGTGCAACTCCCCGTCGGCCTGATTAAACTCAACCTGCAGGACAATGGCTTAATCCCCAATACAGATGCTGATCCCTGGACAATGATCTCACCAAACAGCTGACTGACAAAAGCGCTAGATTGAGACTAGGCAATGCACTTAACTGAATGAGGCCTTCTCACTGACCATACTCTTCCTTGAATAGACTAAGGACTACTCCTCTTAGACTTTCAGACACGGAAATTAGGTTAACACACATGTAGTATGTTTTCCACGTATGATAGCTGCACATGCTGAAGATGTGATATTAATGTAGCATAGTGCCATACACCAACATGTCCATCCACCTGACTGATCATTTAAGTCAAATGTGCCAAGCTGCCTGGTTCTCTCTATGCTGAGCCTGTAAATTCTGAATGAGGCAGCAATGTATTAAAAGGCAAGTAGAGATTTTGGGAGCCTCCATGTATGTGCAAAATGAGTCAGCACTGCAATGCTGAACTGCATTACGAGTCAGTCTGAGATATGCCATGATGCTTTGCCAATGCCAACGTGTGAACAAAGGGTGTGGGTGGTTGCTGCACATGGAATGTGCCCTGAGACGTTGTGGAATGCTGTCCAAGATGAAGGCACATAGAAGATGCTGGAAAGTTGCAGCTGCCAGATAACCGCACTGACTTTCAAGTCAGGAATTGAGTCAGGTGTGTCTAGTTTCAGGACAGTGTTTAGGAAAACAGCAATCTGCGTATAAATGAGTGAGTTACATGACAATAAGATGTTAATGCATGCAATTATGGCATTATCTTCTCACTAGCAAGGTTCTAATCTCACTGTTACAACCTCAAAAAGAAAATTGGACCTTTCTTGCGATATTGATAATCTCATCTCTTCATTCTCACTGTACTTCCCCAATTTTCTCATTTGCGTTATTCAGAACCTGGGAAAATTATGATCACAGTTATAGAGTTTTACAGCATAGAAACAGGCCCTTCAGCCTACCATGTCTATGCCTACCAACAAACACCAAACTATACTAATCCTGTTTACCTGCACTTGGTCCACAGCCTACTATACCCTGGCATTTTAACTATTCATCCAGATGCTTCTTAAATGTTGCAAGAGTGTGTCCACCACCATCTCAGGCAGCATGTTCCCCTGGGTGAAAAAATATTTCCTCAGATCCTCTACAAACCACTTACTCCTCACTGTAAATTTATGCCCTCTGGTCTTAACACTAGTCTGCCATGGGAAAAAGATTCTCACAATCTACCCTATCTATGCTTCTCGTAATTTTATATATCCCAATCAGAACTCCCTCAGTCTCCTCTGCTCCAGGGAAAACAAACTCACCTATCCAGTCTCCTCATAACTGAGACTTTTCATCCCAAGCAACATACTGGCGAATATCTTCTGTACCCTCTCCAGTACAATCATATGCTTCCTATAGCACGGCGGCCAGAACAGCACACAGTATTCCATCTGTAGACGAACTAACGCTCGCTAAAGTTGCAACAGGACATTCCTGCTCCTACATTCTAAGCCCCAGATAATGAAGGCAAGCATCCTGTTTGCCTTCTTCACCGCTCTACCAACCTGTGCTGACACCCCTTTCCTGCAACAATTCCTTGTTACATTGAAATACAGTTTGTCATAAAAGGAAAGCAGGTTTCTGTAACATGTGAAGTTGGTTTCAACTTACTTTCATTAATAAAGGATATACTTGCCATAGAGGACGGAGGAGATTCACTAGCCGGATACTGGGGATGGCAGGACGGTCATATGAGGAGAGATCAGTTCGACTGAGTCGGTATTCACGAGCAATTAGAAGGATGAAAGGCGATCTGATTGAAACGTGGACAGAGAAGACGCAGGGAGGATGTTTTCCCTGATTTTGAGCCTAGAACTAGGGAACTCAGTCCATTTAGGAGTGAGATGAGGAAGAAGGGTAATGAACCCGTGGAATTGTCTACCACAGAAGGCTGTGGAAGCCAAGTCAATGAATATGTTCAAGAAAGAAAAATATACATGTTTAGATGTTAAAGGCATCAAGCGGAATGGAGAGAAAGTGGGCATGTGGCATTGAGATGTATGATCAAAATGGCAGAGCAGATTCAAAAGGTCAAATGGCCTACTCCTGCACCTAGTTTGTACACTTCTATGTTTCATTAATCTGACATAGTGAATGATAAAACAGAGCATTGTCATATTTAAAAGTACTCCATCAAAAACATATCACACAACTTGTCGTAGTGAAATTAAGGCATGCACTGAACTAAATGCATTGATTTTAATCCTGAATTTATGTTTACATTTCAGCACTGATTAAAACTGGAGTATGACTTACTATAGAAATCCCAAACAAGAACAGCAATGGAAAGATGATCAATATACTGCTTCTTGGAAACAGAGATGTCTGAGTGGCAATGACTGCCATCAGCAAGGATAGAATGAAGATTAAAACCATGTACAGCAAGCCCCAGGAAAGCCTGAAAATGAAAGGATTAGCCAATCATTAACAACATATAAACAGGAAAATAATGAATACCTGTTAGAAACAAGTACCTTTTTGCATGCTATGTTCTCAAGGGTATATTATTTATTGATACTTATAAAAAACACTCATTTGAGCAATATGATTCATCAATCTATAGAATAGAGCTTTAGTTATTCAGCTACAGAAACTCATATTTATCAGTTTTTGTTGTGCACACAATATAAGCTTTTTAACAAGAAAAGTATTGGCTAAGCAGCTGTTTGAGCCACATTCATCATTTCCCCAACAAGATGCGTCTTCTTTCTTTACCCCACAAGCCTTTCCTGAATTATATATGGCCTGTGAAAAGAATCAACTCAGAGGCTTACTTTTCTCAAAACACTTAAAACTTCTAGTTGACATTAAAGCTTCTCAGTGAATTTTATTTTAACCCCAGAAAAACAAAATCGATCTTGCTTCCGAAAATCAGATGCCATATTGGGCTACAGTGATTTCAGTTATCACAGGCTTAGTCTGAATTGCTGGAGCAAAAGATTGGCAGACATGAAATGCTCAATGGCCTCCCTCTTTGATTCTACCATTTTCAGTCAAACAAAAGTACTGACAAGTGAAGAAATCTACATGTCTTGTCTTTTTCAAAGCATAACAAAAGTAAAGAAGCCTAAGTTCATAGAAAATCATTCAGGACTGAAAGCAAACGGAGTTATTTTTTGTTATATAGACTCTCTATCACAATTACCAAAACTTTTAACGGTCTATTTGCAAAAAACAATTAAGGATTGCCAGTTATTTATGTACTAATATTACAGTAATTTCAGGCATGGGCATATTTGGGTCTAAACATGAAATTCCAAAAGTTTCGCAAAAACAATGAGGCACTGTCTGCTTCACAACTGAAATACACTGAATCTCATTAAGTCGTTGCATTTGTGCAATAGTCACAAACTAAACCTACAACACTTACAGAAAGTTAAGTCTGATCCATTTTGGTCAAAGCACCGTTTTAAAGTCATGCTATGTGTTAATTATTATCAAAATACCTGTTTGACATGGAAACCTAACCCCACAGAATTCCTACAGTGCAGAATCAGGCCATTCGGCCCAATGGGTCCACAATGACCCTCCAACCAGTGTCCCACCCTGACCCCCATCCTATCTCTGTAACCCTCAACTCCCATGGCTAATCCACCTAGCCTGTACGTTTAGACACCATGGGCAATTTAGCTTGGGTAATCCACCTACCCCACGCAGACACAAGGAGAATGTTCAAACTCCACACAGACATTTGCCCAAGGGTGGAATCGAACCTAGGTCCCTGGCACTGTGAGGCAGCAGTGCTAACTACTGAGTCACTGTGCCACCCCACAAAAGAATAAAACATATTTGGAGTCTGATTCATGTAAATTTTAATTCTTGGAGGTTTTAAAAATGTAAAATCTAAAACAATTTTTTTTTTAAACTTTTGAGGCAGATAAGGTTGTGAGGATGAATAGAAAGCAGCTGTTCCCTTTAGTTGAAGGGTCAATATCAGGAGGCATAAGGTTTAGGTGGGATTTGAGGGGGGGGAAAAAAAAAATCACTAAAGGTGGTGGAAATCTGGAACACATTGTCTAGGAGAATGGTTGAGGCAGGAAACCTCAGAACCTCTAAAAGTACTTGGATGAGCACTTGAAATGTCATAACATTCAAGGCTCTGGGACGAGTGCTACAAAGTAGGACTGCTGTAGATTTAGTTAGTGCAGACTAAAAGAACAAAAGACCTCTTCTATACTCTGAGATACTAAGAACTACAGATGCTAGATTCAGAGATAACACAGTGTGGAGCTGCAGGAACACAGCAGTTGGTGTGTTCCTCTAGCTCAATACTGTGTTACCTCTTCTATACTGTATGGTTCAATGATTTGCAATTTTTTCACTTACAGCTCTCCTCATTCAATGTCTTTTTTCCTCTTCTCTTCATTTCTCTCTTTATCTTAGCTGGAATTGAATTCATCCCCTCTAATTTTCACTTCCTCATTGTCATTGTGCTGTCGAATTTATAATCCTTCAGTGCGACTAGTTAACGAGACAGCACAGCTGTTGATTCAGGTTCCAAAGACCTGGTTTCCCTTGCTGTGATGTTAACATTCTCACTTTCAGCAACTTGCCTTGCCTAAACAATTTATGTCAAATACGCAAGCATGAGCACTTCCTTTCCTATCATTTGTGGTTCCTCTTATAAGAGTGGTTTTAAAGTTACATTGCACTGTCATATCAAAACTAACCACATAGAAAACCAGTAACAAAATTTGAATAATACTTATTTTAACTCATGCACAAGGTAATGCACTCTTTTTGGCTCACCAGAAAGCAGAGTCATAAAGTCCCATCACCTTCATCATGTCTTTCACTTCCTTTTTTTCTGTTACAAGATTGATCAGCAGAAAATTGACAAAGGGCACAAAAGCAATAACAAAATAGAGAGAAGTGACAAAATGTGAAAAGATATCTGCACCAACATGGCTTGGTAAGCCCATCATTTGTATGTGTAGAGGTATGATATCCTTCCAGACAGAATAATTGGTTTGTGTCTGTAAACAGAAATGGAAGCTGTTAAGTATAAGTAATAATAAGAAGGTGAAATATTTAACAAAAAATTAGTACAAATCAATTACAATAATTTCAATTTTAACTCAGGAAATTAGAATTTTACAAATGTTTTACAGCACTATATTTTTTTCCAATGTTCGGAAAAAATAATAAATTCAGACCACAGACAAATTTGGTCCATCTTTTAGCTCAGCTGCACAGCACAATTAACAATAATGACCAATAGGCTACATAACCTATGAAAGACTACAGAATTATGTGTGAACTGCAATTTAGTTAAGCTTCGCCTGTCTATTAAACACAACTTAATGAAGACCAAATTAATACAAATGCCCTCATTAGCACAACATTGTGCTACATTTTCATGACTAATTGAAAACAAAAGTTTTAAAAGTGGGAGTATAATGTATTTAAAAAACCAAAAGAACTACCAACACTGGAAATCAGAAACAAAACAGAAATTACTAGAAAAACTCAGCAGGTCTGGCAGCATCTATGGAGAGAAATCATCTGCTGCTGAAACTCTCTTCGTTACATCATTACCTCTAAACCTGACTGTTCCAACACACTCCTGATTAGCCTCCTTTCTTATCCTACATAAACTTGAAATCACACAAAACTCTTACTATTCATATTCTAACCCATACCAAGTTACCTAACAACCTGGTGCTCTCTGAACTACATTGACTCCAGGTCAAGCAACAAATCAATTTCAAAAATTCTCATTCCTTATTTCCAAGCTCTTCCATGGCCTTGGCATTGTAACTCTGTAACTGCCAGGAGTCTTAATGAGATGTCCGAGATCTCTGAAAAATATCAGGAGATATTTGAGGCCTATTCTTCATTCTCCAATTCCAACCTATGAAGTGCCAAGAATTTAATTGTTCTATCATTACCAACCACACCTTGAACCTGGAACAAAAACAAAGTTTCTGGAAAAGGTCAGCAGGTCTGGCAGCATCTGTGAAGGAACTTTGAACCTCCATGATGTTACGTTATGGAATTCACTCTCGCAAGCTTTCTGCTTTCTTACCTCTATTCCCTTGTCAACTTTCCCAAAACCTACATCTTTGACCAAGTTTTTGGTAATCTGGCTTAATATTATGTAAATATTATGTAACGCTGATAAATTTTGTTCAAAATGCTCCTGCAAAAAACCTTGGGTCCTTTACACTAAGTTAAAAGTGTGGAATTCTTAGATAATTTTCCAGAAATACAAACAAGTTTAAAAATATTCTGCATTCTGTTTTATTACCCTGATGTACTTATGTAAGGTATGGTTTGCCTGGATAGTACGGAAAACAATACTTTTCACCATATCTCAGTACATGTGACAATAATAAATCAATCAAATCAAAATTAGGTGATGAACTCAGTTCTGATGAAGAGTCACTGGAATTGAAATGTTAACTCTGCTTTCTTCCCATGGATGCTGCCAGACCTGCTGAATTTCTCCTGGAATTTCTGTTTTTGTTGAAAAAGTAATTTCTGTTTCTCTGACACCGACTCCTAATTCCTCCGCCTCCGGCACATCTGCTCCCATGATTGGGCGTTCCACTCCTGAACATCCCAGATGTCCTCCTATTTCAAGGAATGCAACTTCCCTGCTTCGGTAGTCGAAAATGCTCTCGACCACATCTCGTGTTTCCCGCACCTCTGCCCTCACATCCCCTCCCCCCCAAAGAAAAAGACAGAATCCCCCTTGTCCTCCGTATCAAATGTATCATTCTCTGCCACTTCCACCACCTGCAATCCAACCCCACAACTAAAGATATATTTCCCTCCCCACCCCTATCTGCCTTTTGTAGGGACCGTTCTCTCCGCAACTTACTCATCTGCTCCACACTCCCCACCAACCCCAGTACCTTTCCCTGCAACCGCAGGAAGTGCTACACCTGTCCCTACACCTCCCCCGTCACCTCCATTCAAGGCACCAAACAAACCTTTCACATCAGACAGAGGTTCAACTGCACATCCATCAAGGTCTACTGCATCCACTGCTCCCGATGTGGCCTCCTCTACATCGGTGAGACCAAGCAGAGTCTTGGAGACCACTTTGTAGAGCACTGTTCTGGGCTCTGTATAGTGTAGGCTCTGTTCGTGATAAACAACACCACCTTCCGGTTGCGAATCATTTCAAATCCCCTTCCCACTCCCTGGCTGACATGTCCATCCTGGGCCTTCTCCAGTGTCACAATGACACCACCCAAAAACTGGAGGAACAGCACCTCATATTCCACCTCGGGAGCCTACAGCCCAATGGCCTAAGTGTAGATTTTACCACTTTCAAAACCTCCCCACCCTTGGCCTCATCCCATGACCAACCCTCCCTCTCATCCCCGCCTCCTTGACCTGACACAACCTGTCCATCTTCTCTCCCACCTATCCACTCTTCCCACCTCACTGACCAATCCCCACCACTCCCTACCTGCACTCACCGATCACCATTCCACCTACCTTCCCCAGCCCCTCCCTGTCCTCTCTCTATTTATTTCTGAGCTCCCTTAACCCTCCCCCATTTCTGAAGAAGAATCCCAACCCGAAATGTCAACTTTCCTGCTCCTCTGATGCTGCCTGGCCTGCTGTGTTCCTCCAACTCCACACTGTGTTATTTCTGTTGCTCTGATTTAGTTTTAAAATTCACTTGTTTATGTTAATTTTTCTTAAAATGAGTGGCAGTTTATGAAACAAATCTGTATAAAGTCTGCCATATGAAGGTTTCAAATGTAATATGTAATATTTAATCAGTGGTTTGGGTTTCAGTATTAGCCTATTGTAATTTCTCTTAGGTACATTATATGTTATGTATAATAGCATACATTACATCCAAGTGTAATAGAAGGATGTTGGTTTCAGTTCTGTGACCAATCAGCATGGAATTAAGAAATAACATTTCTCTCCATAAGATAAAAATAAATTTCCAAAGCAACAGTTTTCTGCAGTCTATCAGACACTAGAATTTTCATCTTATGCAACCTTTTGACTCAACTCATTTACTTTAGACTAACCTTAATGATTGCAACATCAATATGTTTTTGTATTGTTGCAAATCCTGATAATAGGTACAATGCACCAGGACAGTCCTTCAGTTGACTTAAGGAGGCAGAATCCAAACGGCAACTTGCTGGGATAAATTTAATTGAAGATGTTCTTTTTAATATGAAGTAACAATATTTTCATTTTATCAAAATTACACGAAATATTTATTTTTTTGTATCACTGTTTTCTAAATTAAAAAGAAGTTTTTATATATATATGTGTGTACCACCATGAACAGCAACAGCAGTTCTTTTGAGTTTATATTTGGTGCCCAATTCTAAATCTCAAGTTTAAACCATTAAAAGGGAAATATAACTGAAGAATTTACACTAGCAAAAGTAATTACATTTTACACAAATATGAGTATTTTATGGACACATGTAAATAAGGACACTTAGAAATCTAAATGTAGTTAACAGATAAAAATGTTAAACTGGACAACCAGAAATTTTTAACCATCAAACTCAAGCATAAATTGGTAGCCCTTTGTTAAGTTACAGGGGAGGCGATGGCCTAGTGGTTGTATCTCTAGACTACTAATTCAGAAACACAGCTAAAGAATGGTGCAGAAAAGAGGGGTTCCATTTAGTGAGACACAGGCAGGTGCATTGGGACAGGAAGGAACTGTACAACTGAGATGGACGCCACCTGAACCAATTTGGGACCAGGATCCTAGTGGAAAGATGAAATAAGATGGACACAAGGACTTTAAACTCGTTAAAGTCTGGGTGGACTCCGGAGAGGTTATTAAAGTTTCCAGAACAAATAATAGGACAGGGAGTACTGAAAAGGTCAGCAATCCAACTTCAGGCACAGCCAAGATGGATTTTTGGAGCAGCGTTTGTACAACCCACTAGGGAACAGGCTATTCTGGATTTAGCCTAATGCGTAATGATGCAGACTTGATGAGGGAGCCTAAAGGTGAAGGACTCCCTACAGGGCAGTGACCATAAATGATAGAATTCACCCTACAGTTTGAGACAGAGAAGCTGGATTCAGTATTACAATTAAGTAAAGGTAACGACAAAGACTTGAGGGAGGAGCTGACTAGAGTTGATTGGAAGATAGCGGAGCACCAATGTCAGGAGTTTCTGGGGTAATTCAGGAAGCACAGCAAAAAAAATCCCATGAAAGAAGAATCATACCAAGGGGAGGACAAGCCAACCATAGCTAACAAAGGAAGCCTGGGTAGCATAAAAACAAAAGAAAATGCATATGATGTGGTGAAGATTAGTGGGAAGCCAGAGGATTGGGAAGCCTTTAAAAACTAGCAGAAGATAACTAAGAAGCATTAAGGGAGGGAAGATGAAATATGAGTGAAGCTAGCTAGTAATACAAGAGAAGATTGCAAGACTTTCTTTATATACATAAAAGGTAATGGTGAACAAATAATTGGCAGAGGAACTGAACAGTTACTTTGCAGCATTCTTCATGGTGGAAGACACCAGTAGCATACCAGAATTTCAAGAGAGTCAGGGGACAGAGGTGAGTCTAGCGGCTATCACTAAGGAGGTGCTGGAAAGTTGAAGGGTCTGCAGGTGGATAAATCACCTGGACCAGATAGACAAAACTTCAGGATTCTGAAGACATAGCTAAGGAGATTATAGAGGTGGTGATCTTTCAGGAATCACTGGAGTTAGAAGGATTACAGAGGACTGGAAAATAGCTAAAATAATTCCCCTGTATAAGGAGGGAGGGAGGGAGGGAGGCCCAAATTAAGTTGTTGGTTAAGATTTTAGAGTCCATTATTACAGATGGGATTGTGGAGTTCTTGGAAGTGCATGGTAGATTGGGCTCAGTCAGTATGCTTCGTCAAGGGGACGTCATGCCTAACAAACCTATTAGAATTCTTTGAGGTGGTAACAAGCTAGTTTGTCAAAGGAGAGCCAGTGGATGTGATCTATTTGAATTTCCAATTGGCCTTTGACAAGGTGTCACGCAGGAGGCTTTTAAATAAGATAAGAGCCCATAGTGTTAGGGGTAAGTTACTAATGTGAATAGAGGAATGGCTGTCTGGTCGAAGACAGAGAGTGGGGATAAAGGGGTCTATTTCAGAATGCCAGCTGACTAGTGCAGTTCCACAGAGGTCAGTGTTGGGACAACAACTATTTATGTTATCTGAAATCTGAAGCACAAAGAAACTTAGGACTCCTAGTTCAGGATTCTCTTAAAGTTAACACACAGGTTCAGTTGCAATTAGGAAGGCAAATGCAATTTTAGCATTCATTTCGATAGGACTAGAATACGAGAGCAAGGATATGTTGCTGAGGCTGTATAAGGCTCTGGGTCAGATCGCGTTAGAAATTGTGTCAGCAGTTTTGGGCCTCACATCTGAGGAAGAATGTGCTGGTGTTGGAGGGTGTCCACAGGAAGTTTACAAGAATGGTCCTGGGAATGAAGGGCTTGTCATATGAGGAGCGAATGAGGACTCTAGGTCTGTACTCGATGGAGTTTAGGGGGATGACAGGGGATGTCACTGGAGGACCGGATATAGTGGATATGGAGAAGACGTTTCCACTAGTAGGAGAGACTAGGTCCCAAGGGCAGCCTCAGAATGAAGAGAAAGTTTAAAACTGAGATGAGGAGTAATTTCTTCAACTAGAGGTTGGTGAATCTGTGGAACTCATTGCGTGCAAGCCAAGTCTTTGAGTGTCTTTAGAGAGAGATAGATAGGTCCGTGATTAATAAGGGAATTAAGGGCTACAGGGAGAAGGCAGGAGAATGAGGTTCAGAAACATATCAGCTATGAACGAATGGTGAAGCAGAATCAATGGGCTGAACTGCCTGATTCTGCTGCTATATCTTATGGTCTCACGAACACAAAATGCATGTAGATTTCGAAGACGGATGTAGAAAGTGGATGCCAGGCAGATTTCTGCGGAAAATCATCCCTGCTCATGACTTTGCATGTGATGATGCAGCTGCAAATCCAGTTACTTATAGGTATTATTCTGAATTTAAACATGCGACACCATCATCATCCTCCACCTGTGGAAAGCATTTGATTTCCATCATCAAAATTAGCCCTCTTCTCAATGTGCTTCAACAGCTTAGTTAGATCCAAGATATGCAAGAAACAACTGACCCTTTCAGAAAGCATAGTAAAAGTAGCAACTACAATGTATATTTAAACCCTGCGACCAGTCAAAGCACTAGAACAGTCATACTATTGTCATATCCATATTTGCAATTTTTAACATATACTTTTACTGAAATAAATTCATTTCAATGTGAATATAACAGTTGTCATCTGTGAAGCCAAAATGAGAAAACAAGACAAATGATAGAATGCTAATGACAAGAAATAAGGTAAAGCGAAAAGCTAGCCCACATGACATCCAAGGTAAAGGGTTACATCATAAACCTGAAGGAATAAAATGGACATAACTCCATTAAATTTGCTCTTTCCATCTTTTCCAGAATTGGACCACAGTTGCAGCCAGTGCTTATCTAACAGATCTCAAGGTATAAAGAACATGAACTATATTTCAATGCCATAACACCCTCAGAGCACCACATCTAAATTGGATCCCAACCACAGTTCCTGAATTCAGGGTCAGTCTCATCAGTTAAGGTTCTTTAGCAATTATCAGCTGATATGCACTTAATTCACAGCAGTCTGAATACACCTCAGTCAAGAACACGACCGATGACCTGCCCACTGTCAAACACAATCAAGTAACTCTCAATGGTACAAAAACAAAGTTGCTGGAAAAGTTCAACAGGTCTGGCATCTGTGAAGGAAAAAACAGAGTTAACGTTTCGGGTCCAGTTACCTTTCCTCAGAATTGATGGCTGGGAAAATGTCAGTTTCTGTGCAGAAAATAGGGAGGTGGGTGGGATAGGGAGTAAACGATAGGATAGAACCCAAAGAGAGAGAAAGACAGTTGGACAGACGAAGGAGTTGCTAACGATCAGGATGGGAGGGTGAGTAGTTGTTAATGGGGACTGTTAGTGACTAACAACAGGTGGTGTGTAATGGCAGGCTACATGATAACAAGGCCTGGTGTGTGGGGTAGGGGGCTGGGACATGGGCGAGTTTAGGCCCTAAAATTATTGAACTAATATTGAGTCCGGAGGGCTGTAGGGTCCCCAAGCTGAAAATGAGGTGTTGTTCCTCCAGCTTGAGTTGGGCTTCGCTGGAACACTGCACCAGGCCTTGTTATCATGTAGCCTGCCATTACACACCACCTGTTGTTAGTCACTAACAGTCCCCATTAACAACTACTCACCCTCCCATCTTGATCATTAGTAACTCCTTCATCTGTCCAACTGTCTTTCTCTCTCTTTGGGCTCTATCCTATCGTTTACTCCCTACCCCACGCACCTCCCCATTTTCTGCATATAAACTGACATTTTCCCAGCCATCAGTTCTGAGGAAGGGTCACCGGACCTGAAACGTTAACTCTGTTTTTTCTTTCACGGATGCTGCCAGAGCCGCTGAACTTTTCCAGCAATTTTGTTTTTGTTCCTGATTTACAGCATCCGCAGTTCTTTGTTTTTATTTAACTCTCAACGGTAATTTTCCTTTCTTGATTTTATTACATTTTCCCAGCTTAGGACAAATTACTTCAACCCTTGCCCTGGATAATGTTAACATGCAAGATTCTTTGCCAGGATCAACTGTAAAGGAAGTAAATGGATCCTTCATAATATTTCCCTCTTTTGACAGCTACTTGTATTTATATGGTAAATAAAAACCAAAAGAACTGCGGATGCTGTAAGTCAGGAACAAAAACAGAAGTTGCTGGAAAAGCTCAGCAGGTCTAGCAGCATGTGTGAAGAAAAAAATCAGAGTTAATGTTTCCGGTTCTGAGGAACATTAGCCGGACCCAAAACGTTCACTCTGATTTTTTTCTTCACAAATGCTGCCAGACCTGCTGAACTTTTCCAGCAACTTCTGTTTTTGTTCCTGTTATATTTACATGGCTTTGTGACTTTTACATGCCTTGTAATGTAGAAGCGCAGATGTCAAAAATTGAGTTAAAGATATTAGGAGGGATGATTAAAATCTTTGTCAAAGAGATACTAGAAGAGTCTACAAGAGGAAAGGGAGGTAGGGAAATGGGAAAAAATGGCATTTTAAACCATGTCACCTTTCTCATCGATGAAGTCAATCCTTTCATTGGTACGTGGAACTTTATTATAGGGAAACCGAAGTTGATATGACAATGAATTGATGAACGAAACTCCCACCAATGGTCTAGAGGCATGTGAACAGCAAGCTTGTTCCATTGCTTCTTCATCTCTGAATCCGTAAGGAACCATTTCTGTAGTGAGAAGAATTTATCAAGTGTACGTCATTACTATTATTACTGTAAAAATTCAGCTCTGCAACGCTTTTTAACATGACTTCCTCATTAAAGAATCTTTTGATGACAAAATAGCTTCTATGTTCTTTCCAGGATAGTTCCAACAAAATCTCACCTGCCGTGACTGCTAGTCTTAAAAAGAACTTCAAGCATCAATCTATTCACGTTGTGATTATAATGGAAAGCAAAGAACAGAATATGTGGTCTGCAAGGACCTTAGTATGGCTTTTAAAGCAAATCTCTCATGATGGACTGGTCAAGAAAGTTAAGAGCCTGTGGGATCTAAGGCAAATGTTGAATCTAAAATTGGCTGAGAGACAGGAAGCTGATAGAGTTGGTAGAGGGCTGTTTCTGTGGACTGGAAGCCTGCAGTAGTGTTACACAGAGCTCAGTGCAGGGCCCTTTCTGTTGGTTGTGAATGTCAATGACTTGGAAATAAATGTGGGGGCAAGATCAAGCAGTTCATGGATGACGTGAAAATTGGTAAATACTAAGAAGGATAACTGCAAAACTGCAGGAGGATATCAATGGATTGGTCAGCTAGGCCAAGCAGTACCAAATGGAATTTAACAAAGAAAAGAGTGAGGTAATGCACTTGTGGAGAGCTAAGAAGGCAAGGGATTGCACTATGAATGGTAGGATCCTGAAAAGTACTGAAGATCATAAGGACCTGGGCATCCATATCCACAGATTGCTGAAGTTACTTGGGCAAGCAGACAAGTTGGTTAGGAAGGCATATGGGATACTTGTCTGTATTAGCACAGAATAAAGAAGAAGGAGCATATGCTGAAACTGTATAAAGTGCTGGTTAAGCCACAACTAAAGTTCTGGTCACCATATTATAGGAAAGATGTTATTGCACGAGAGAGAGAGAGTACAGGGGAGATCTACCAGGATGCTGCCTGGGCTGGACAGTCTGAGCTATGAGGAAAGATTGGATACGATAGAGTTGAGGATGGCGTTGTTTTCCTTGAAGCAACAAAGGTTGAGAGGGGACCTGATAGAGGTGTATATGATCATAAGGCATATAGATAGAGTGGATAGTAAGACACTTGTTCCATTAGTAGAGGAGTCAATAACGAGGATGCACAGATTTAAGTTAAAAGATAGAAGGCCAAGAGGAAAGTTCAAGACAATGTATTTTTGACTCAGAGGCTGTTGAGAGTCTGTAAGTCACTATTTGAAAGGGTGGTCAAGTCAGAAATTCTCGTAACATTTAGATATTCATTTTGTTTCCATAGCCTCCAGGGTTATTGGACAAAAGTGGCAAAATGGAATGAGTGTAATCAGATCTTTATTGGCTGGTACAGACATGATAGGCCAAATAGCCTTCTTTTCTGATGTAAACAACTGAGTTGATGAGAACATAGGTCTAACACACTACTTGGATCAATTCTGCTTGCCTCTTTCTTTAAAAATGTTAAACCACCCCAATATCATGGCCCTCAATACATTAAACCAAAATATCAATATGCTGGCTTCACTATTGATTGCATTACAGGAAGGGGTGGATTAGTGGAAGTCACTGGACAAATAATCAGAGGTCTAGGCTAATCCTCATAGTTTTATATTGCACCACGGTGCCTGTTGGAGTTATATTCAATTAATAAATCTGTAATTAACAAGTTAGCTTTATGAAACCAGTGTTGATTAATGTAAAAACCCAACTGGTTCACTTATTTGCTATTCCCAACTGATTTAGCGTATATGCAGCTTCAGACCCATAGCTCACTCTTAATTGTACTCTGAAATGGCCAAGCAAGCCAATGAGTTGTATCAAACTGCTACGGAGTCTTTGGCCACGATAATTCATTTCCGCTGCCTCCTGCCAGTCTTTAGCCGAATTTGTTTACTCCACAGGATATCAAGAAACAGCGAACATTGCAAAGGCTATGGGTCTGACACATTCTGGCCCTTGTACTGAAGAGTTCTGCTCCACAACTAGCAAGGTTCTTAACCAAGATGTACAAGTACACTGCCATCAACCCAGCAATGTGGAAAACAGCCCAAATCAGTCCTGTCCCCACAAATTGCAGGACAAATCCAACCAAGCCAATTGGTAATTCGTTAGTCAACTCTCAATCATTAGCAAAGTGATGGAAGGAGTCATTCATATTGCCATCAAGTGGCTCTTGAAAACTGCTGCATCATTGAAAACTGAAGAATAAATGGGAATCGGGGAAAACTCTTCACTGGTTGAAGTCATGCCTACCACAAAAGGAATTGTTGTGTTTGTTGGAGACCAATCATCTCATCTCAGGACATATCTGCAGGAGTTCAATGGGGCAGTGTACCAAGCCCAACAAACTTCAGCTGCTTCATCAAAGACTTTCCTTCTGATCTTATGATTGAAGAGGGGCTTTTCATTGATGACTGTACAGTGTTCAGCAACATTTATGACACCGCAGATATTGAAACAGACTATGTCCTTATGCAATAAGACCTAGACAGCATCCAAGCTTGGGCAGTTAAGTAGTAAGTAACATTCATAGCACACAGATGCAAGGCAATAACCATCTCCAACAAGAGAGAATCTAACCATCACCTCTTGACATTCAACTGCATTATTAATATTGAATCAACACTAACAACATCCTATGGGCTACCACTGACAAGACATCAACTGAACCAGTCATATAAATAATATAGTTAGAAAGGCAGGTCAGAGAAAACTCACCTCCTTTCACCCAAAGCCTGTCCACCATTTACAGGGCACAATTCAGGAGTGTGGTAGAATACTCTCCACGTGCATGGATGACTGCAGATCCAATAATGCTCAAGAAACTCAATATTTTCCAGGACAAAGCAGCCTGCATGATTGGCACTCCATTCACACCTTCAACATTCACTCTCTCTGCCACCAACATGCAGTGACAATAGTGTATTCCATCCACAAGATGTACTGCAGGAATTCATCAAAGCTCTTTTTAAGGGGAAGTGATGACTTAGTGATTTTGTCGCTGGACTGTTAATCTAGAGACTCAGATAATGTTCTGGGGACCAAATTGCGCCATGAATTTGTGCCAAACAAAGTTTGGAATTAAGAGTCTAGTAATGACCATGAATCCACGTCAATTGTCAGAAAAACCCATCTGGTTCACTAATGCCCTTTAGAGAAGGAAACTGCCATCCTTAACTGGTCCCAGGAGTTACTATGGGATTCCAGACCTACAGCAATGTGGTGGACTCTAACTGCTCCCTGGGGAATTAGGGATGAGCAATAAATGCTGGCCTGGCCAGCGATGCCCACATCTTGTGAATGAATTAAAAACCTCTTCCAAACTTGTGACCTCCACCTCAAAAAACAAGGGCATCAGATGCATTATTACGTCATCTACCTCAAGCTGTCCTCCAAACCACCATGTCGACTTGGAACTATATCACAGTCCCTTCACTGTTGTTAGGTGCAAATCCTGAAATTCCTTTTTTAACACCAGTGTGGTGAACCTACTCTTTCCATGATTCAACAGGGCAGCCCACCACCACTTTCTCAAGGGCTGGGTAATAAATGCTGTAATGGGGCGGCACAGTGGTTCAGTGGTTAGCACTGCTGCCTCACAGCGCCAGGGACCTGGGTTCGATTCCACCCTCAGGTAACTGTCTGTGTGGAGTTTGCACATTCTCCCCGTGTCTGGGTGGGTTTCCTCCAGGTGCTCCAGTTTCCTCCCACAGTCCAAATATGTGCTGGCTAGGTGGATTGGCCATGTTAAATTGCCCATAGTGTTCAGGGATATGTAGGTTCTGTGGGTTATAGGGGGATGGGTCTGGGTGGGACCCTCTGAGGGTTGGTGTAGACTTGTTGGGCCAAAGGGCCTGTTTCCACACTGTAGGGATTTTATTCTATCCCTAACTGAATATCCCATGATTGAATAAAACAAAAGCAAATCAACTTGATAATAACTGCATAGTTTAAATACAATCTAGGCCTACCCACTTTAAAAGATGGTAAAATAGAGATTTAGAGACCCATCTTAGGAACTAAGTTGAAAAATGTAATTTGGATACATTGGAAAGCCAACTTTGTCACTTTTTAATCATTACAATAGCACAATAACATTACTTGCCTTGATAATGCAGTTAGCTGCAAAAAACAAAGTAATCAATTTTGCATTTGTATCCCACAGAGGTCAGCAAAAGTACTGGCCATAATTTTCCCATTTTCAGCAAGTCTGGGGATGGGTGTGTTATGTGATGACTAAGAAGCCACTCCACTGCTAAGATAAATTACCCAATCACACACCAATCAGCACTTAAGTACTGGCAGAGGTGCATGGGTGAGTTTCAAGGCTATTGCAGACCTTGACATTGGCATCCTAGGTGACTAATCAGAGATCGGTTTAAAGACTGCCATCCTGGATCAGGCAGCAGCATTGATGTTACAATCTGGCTAGGGACCAGCAATTTTTAGTTTTAAAATAGAGGAAGTGTGAGATCAGCAGACTTAATAAGAGAATAAAGCTGCAAGATGTCACAATTTGGAACAAACATTAATAAACTTTACTCTACAATGTCAGGCAGTGTTTCTAATGCTCGAGATAAACATGTGGCAAATTTGGATAATTGACTGTGATTGAAAATCCCACAGAGTGCATGAAACAGCAAATGCAATCATGACAGATCCCACATATTTCTCGGCAACTCTCCCCTTAAAGTAATGACACTGTAGACCATAAAGTCTCATTAAACTCTACAAGGGATCACAATTCTTCACTTTTGACCATCTGGCCTTCAGCCTTGTTCTCAAGAACCACTCCATAATGGACTGCCTCGATGACTGCTCCAGTTATGGTCAATCACCATCCTTACCTAGGTCTGTGCTCCCCGGATCCTGAAAACTGTATGCCGCCAAGGCACAAATCCACACTTTCACAAACATTAAACTTAGCCAAGCCAGTACTACTCCTAGATTTTTCTGAGCTCTGATCAGTTGCATCCAGAAAATATTGCTTAGGGACTTCTCAATCCCCACACTCACTGTTCTGAGCTATTAGTTGCACATGGCTTCTTCTGAGCACTCGCACCTCTCAGCACTTTACTGAACGCTCGCTACACAAAACCTGTATAGTTGAACAGTACAGGTATCAGCAGTATCCTAACATGAAGTTTCTGTCTCCAAATAACTGACAGTATCATTCATTACCTGTCTTCTTTGAACTCCGATTCAGTGACCTGTGTGATCTGTCCTGTGTAACCTACTGAAAACCTAGCAACAGATCCTTCCCTTATTCCAAGGCAAATCTTAATGTTGCCAACTTGCATCTTTTGTAAAAGTCTGTCTATAAATGTTACCAATCATAGATTGCTGACTTGCTCAATACAAAAAAAATGAATACAGACATAATATTTTATCACAGGCAATCCAGTAACGAGATGGTAAATGATTTTTATATCCCTGTTTCAGGGTGGGGGTCACAGGGAGGCAGGGTCTGAGGAAAGGGGTGGCTATCGGTGGCTATCACCTTGCCCCCCAACACTCCAAGAATGTCTGAGTACTCCCAAATTGGGGTACTGGAGCCCATCTTCCCCACTAACCTGACCGACAGATTGCCGTCATTTCACAGTTGGGAAATTGGCCACCTTTTTGATGTCATGGAAATTGGGGTCATGGTGAGTTGAGGCTATTAAGTGATCATTAATTGACGACTTAAGGGCGGTGACTGGTGATAAATCAAGAAAGTCCCCAGTGGAACCTTTCATCAAGACTTTAATTCATAAAGGGGCAAGAAGGGGTGAGTTTCTCACAAGGGCCAAACCACCTAAGTATTTCTCTCTTTTTACCATTTCTCATGTCACCCCAAGGGAGGGGAAAATTCAGCAGTGGAGATTTAGTCAGTTGCTCCAGTAATATATGAACATACAAATTGAGAGCAGGAATAGGCCATTCAGTCCCTCAAGCTAACATGCCATCTGATAAGATAAACAGGTCAAATTTCAATATTCCAATAATCCAGTGGCTGAAAGGCAGCCTTTGAAACCATTTTTTTTGATAATTGGCAACAAGATACTTAAAACATTTTTAAGTACTACAAAACATTTGAAGTATGGAACATTTTCAAGGGAGAATTTTTAAAATAGCAACAAATAGAAAAATGAGGAAAAATGGAATACAACATGAAATGTAATTCAGGAATATTAATATACCTACAATATTTAACGATCTAATAATAAACACCTAACCTCTAAACATTGGCATATCTTTCAGCATCACAGGATGAATTGCTTAATGTTAAATCTTAGCCCTGGGAGCTCAGAATTCCCTGGAGTTATCAGCAGTCTAAGAGTTCTCTTCTTTGTTTCTGAATCTCTTCATGGTATCCAGAGAAACAATATTTCACAGAAATAAAACTTTTATTTAAAAGACAAAACGTTTATTCAGTGTTTTATGAAGTTCTAATTTCCACTAGAGATACTTGTGCACCACATGTACAATAGTCATAAATTATGAGCAATCCTTATTTCAATGAAATGTATTTCTAAAGGTGAATAAAGGGTATCTACAGATCAATTCAAAATCAGTGATATAATGGGTCACTTCACAAGACACACCTAGAAACACAGCAATGGACCTGCAGTAGACTTCAAGAAGACTATGCCTACTGTAGGGGTGTACCCCTGATCGGGGACAAAGACTCAGGAGGCAGACAGAATTCAGGCAAGTGTAAGATGTTTATTCAAGCAGATCTTCCCTGAATCTGGCCTCGATGTGAGAAAACAATATTTCCTTTAATCTTTAGCTCAGATCAAAAAAGAGAGATCAATGACACACTCTGATTCTTACAGTGAAATACAGCATTTTTATACATTTCGTGTTACAATAATCACATACAGAGTAGTCACCGTCCTTCCCCCTCAAGCTATACACCCAATCCTGTGGGACACCTAATCAATGGTTGGCATTCCTATGGACACCCCCAGGTTCCCATGACCTTATGGCATTTACCAGACATTGTAATCTCTAGGCCTTGGGATCTTTCTGTTCACCCTATTCATTTGCATTCCAAAATTACTGGCTATACTTCTTCGGATCTGTCTCAGGCTTGCTTATCTTTTAAGGATAGCTTGAATTCTGTCATTCATTGTATTCCATGTGCTGCCTTTATCAAATTCAGTTACACCTCTGATATTTCCCACTGTCCTAATTATACATGTAAAAATACAAAAGACAGTTAGTTTTAACTACTTGCTATAAGATTTGTAATAAAATTTAGTTATAGAGTGTAAAGTTATACTGCTACTTCTATTGTTAGATCTATGTAATTAATGGTCTGTGAATAATTTATTCTGTTCAGGGCATAAAAGAAGGTGTTTCCTAAGGCTTATCAACTTTCACATCTAGGTTTAAATGCTTTTCCCCTAATGTTTGTATGATACTTTGGTTATACTTGTGTCCTTTATTTTGACAACTGCTTCAATAATTATCTGAAGAATTTTTAACCAGAGCCTATTTTTTAATATTGTGAGTAACTTAAAAGAAACAACTATTTACTGCAAAATAACTTTAGCTGTTGTCTTTGCAGCTGTTTAGGGAGTTAATCTAGCTGGTTCATGAGCTGAGACTCACACGTGGTGTTATTCATTTACTGGGACAACCATCCTTTCATTAATGAGGCTGGAATTAATCACGTGTCTGTTCTTAGGAATTATCTTATCAAAACTGTCTTGGATAGTTGGTGGTAAGGCTCTTTTGTTGGACCTGGGAGTAAGCAGGTATACGGGTTACTTTTTATGGTCAGGTATAGGTCATCCCCACATCTACCAAAAGACCAACAATAAAACTTGCTCTTATGAAATCTTCTTAAAATTGTAATTTAAACCTGGGTTTAGTCACAGCAGAATATGATTTATCTGACAAAATTTCACTAACACATGTTTAATATTTAGCATAATGTGCTTCTTATCTGGGTATATTTAATGCTCACCAAGCAGTGCCCCTACTTCCTCCATGATTTCCTTGGTGTGATTGTTCACTGGCGTGTATCCAAGTCTGTAGTCTGGTTGCACAAAATTATCCAGCTCCTCGGGCTCACTGGTGAGCGTCTTCAAGTATAATTGTGGAGGGACAAGTACACTTAAGCAAACCAGGGCAAAAACTAAGAAGAGCGGTAAAAGCAATTCCTGCAAGAGAATTTGTTTCAAAATTACCACTTTCATTTTTCCAGCAAACTTTAAAAACTATACATTTTGCAAACAGTATACGTTCAAGTAACAAACCAATAGTTAGCACAATAGGGTTCAATGTTAACTCTGTAAAACTGCACTTGCATGTGGTCTACATTTTAGGCACTGGAGAATTTTGACACCTAAACCTCATTTTCACACAACTAGTCAATTACCGTCCATAAGGGAGGATATAATTGGGAGGGTGGAGCCTGTTAGTTGGCACCAAAAGAATACTTGCTGCTAATGGTATAAGTCGTCACAGGGATCACGGGAGAATCTCAATGGAGTTAGGGTACATGAAGAATTGTGTGTACAGAAGGCCATGATATTCCTCATGGAGCCCACTTCTGCTTCTGAAAGGCCTACAGAGGAAAAGTTTCCTCTTACCTTTTGGGACTTCTATGTCAACCTACCAGCTTTTGACCTGCCTTCACTTGGTAGCTAGTCATGAAGCCTTACCTGCTCAACCCTTGGTTAAAATCCAATCAGTGACCCCAGTTTGCACCAATACATCAGGCTGCCATTTGTTTACACCAGACTCCTCAGCCACCAAACTCCATTATTTGGTAAGAGTGAAGGGAACATACCTGAAGACTCCATTTTACAACTGGTTTGGACTGACTCAAAGTTTATAATATATCCAAAGAAATAAAACCTTAAACTCTAAATGCCAGCAATTTTCTAAACACATTGTCATAAATGACAGAAAATATTATTTTCAAATATGATGGTTCCACTTCAGAACTGTAATATAGCAGGATTAAATGGACCCTCAAGAAATCTCCATTCCCCTAGTACGGTCAGTGAGTAACAGTTAATTCTCTGTAGTGACATTACATGATATTTTTACTAATGTTCAAATGCTTTCTGCAGGAAGCCACTCTGCTATTTACAAAGCGTACCAACCTACTGTCAATGAAAGTACCCTGGACCATCTTTCGGTTTTAGTCATATCCTGCATTGTTTTTGCATATTCCTTAAACGCAGGCATATGCAGTAATGCTCCCTTTTACTTTATGAGAACTGCGATAGGGTTAGGTACTATACTCAAATATGCATCTTTATCCTTGACAGTGCAAACAGAAAAATGAAACAGTTGGCTTAAACTAAAGTACATATCCTTCAAGTAACCACAGAAGAGCAATGAAATGGTACAAGTAATTATGCTGCAACAAGGTCACAAGTTGAAGACACTGATCTGAAAAGGGGACTTTTGGGACAGACAAAACCCTCACTAATGATACCTGCATTATCATACACTTTAGCATCATGTACTTTAGCACAATTGTTTTGTTTAAAATAAAACTTAAAGCATTTAAAACTTGCATTTTTGGCCTGCTTCTTATTCTAGGCATTTTTTTGGTCGAGTTAAAGGTTAACCAAATTAGGAATCATAAATATAACAATTTGGGCTTACAAAGAATTAAACTGTATATTTAAGCTCAGTGCACAGGACATAAAAAAAGCACATGGTCACACACCCAGCTATAAAAACACTTCCACTCTCTATTTCCTTAAATTTCCTGCAGCATACCAAAATATCAAGACATATTTTTAAAAGAATTTTCTGTCACAGTCTGTTTCTATAAAATGGCTTTGGATCAATTGCTAATTTAGATGTACTACATGAAAACACAAGTTCTAATTCAGGTTTTCAGAGTAGGTTTCAAGATGCCAAGTCAGCTGGTGAGCATGAATTTTGGGGTCACAAGCTCTGAGGCAGCAATGACTGCCATGGAGCGCAGAAGAAGTTATAATAGCTAATACAGCCGACCTCCCATACTCATAGACCTCATTGAGCAGTTGCGACAATTTTCAAGGTTGGGAAGCACTGTCCCAGTTGAAGGAGGAAATGTGAAGGATCCATTTTACTTTTTTCCTTTTATCCAGAAGTGCTCTTACATACAACTGAATTTTTTTTTTCACCAAACTAGCAAGTCACCCGTGTTTTTTTTTCAAGCTATTAACCACCAGCAGTAAATTACTTATTTTTCCAACTGAATAATTTATGTGCAAAGCCCAATAAGGGCAATGCAAACCATCAAAGTTGAAGGAGAGGTACGGAGAGGGGTAGGGGGCCAAAGTAACTCCACAGAGCCGATATCCTGTCACCAAGTCACCCTTTATTCACACATGGAAAGTCCTTGACACTGATCCAGCTCCTTCAGAGACAGCTCTCAGAGTGTGAGGATGTCTGACACTCCTGTTTATATCTGTCAGCCAGAGACCCCTGATTGGACCAGATTAACAGCCCCAATCAGGGAACTCTTATTCTACGAGGTCCAACTGACTGACCAGTTCCAATCACCACATGTCACCCTCTCTGAGTCTAAGGACATAGGCCAGTTTTCTTTTTCAGCTCCTCCTGGTGCATTTTAGCACTGGGTCAGGTTTCTCTGACTCTGCCTTGGATACAGGCGGCATGTAACGCACAGTAGCTTGCCTCTTACTCCCGGAGCATCTGGGAAGAAATTCATTGTCTCCTTCAGGCAGCAAAAGCATCAAGGCGGTGACATCCGCCGTGCACATCTCAGATTTGAAGTCTCTTCAACACTTGACGGAGAGGGAGAACCCACAGGTTTCGCCTGCCAGCTGTTCCAAATGTGCCGAGGTTTTGCTTCCATCCTGTTTGCAAGTTTGCAGCTTTCATATGGTCCATGTGCTTGTTCAGGACCGTTGCACCTACCTGAACTTTATACGTCACTGGACCTGCCTTTGAGTCGAACATGCTTCTTACACATGCAGGGCCATTCCCATGGTTCCTACACCAAACTTCGTCCCCTGAAGTAAACTGTCTCTCTCAATTAGCGAAGTCTTGTGTCTGGCATTGGCTGATAGAAATAACTCTTAAATGTTATCATTTAAAAGAAAGCTGTGGCTTGCCAGTTCAATTCAGAAGGCATTATGACTCAACCACTTAACAACAGTATGCATGCACTAATGCCCTTTAATGTGAAAAAACTGTTCAAAGTGCTACACACTAGCATAATCAGAAAAAAATAGAAGTCAAGCCAAAGGCAGAGATGTTAGAAAGACTAACTAATAGAACGGCAAAAAACACTATTTTAAAGAGGGTCATAATGGAAGAGAGATAAGTGAAGAGGTTTAAGAAGGGAATTCAAAAGGACATGGTCCAGAATTCAGAAATACTGTAGAAACAATCAATGCTGGGAATAAGTTGTTACCATCCAATAAGCTCTGAAGGGATGCTTGAGACCTAATGGAACAAGTGAACAGGTGACGGATATATTGATTAAGGGTTAACCGAGTAAGAATCGGCTGTATTAAAGTGGGGAGCTAGTAATTGGTGGGTTGTGAGATTTATGGAGTGTTAATTGATATAAAAATAAAGTTATCTGCTAATGTATAACATGAGTGGTAGGCCCTTGTGGTGCAGTGGTAGTCATCTGCCTTTGTGTTCAAGTCCCACCTGTTTCAGAGCTGTGTAATAACATCTCTGAACAGGTTTGAGAGAAAATATTTCTAACATGAATGGTGAACAAGAATATGAGGCAAGCAAAGCTTCAAGAAGTAATAAAGCTGCAGGAGGTTACAGAGGTCAGAAATGGACACCATGAAGGAAACCAACACAGGCAATCAAATACAATGAGCTGGACGGTTCAGTATAGAATACGAGAAGCTAAGCTTTATTGAGACTGGGCAAGAAAGCATTGGAACAGTTGCAGCTGAAGGTGAGGGATTTAGTAGCAGATGGACTGAGCCAGCAACGTAGGTATCTGATGTGTCATAGAGGCAGTCTTTGAAACGCAATGAATTTCAATAGGCGCTTCAAAGTAGCACAGCAAGAACTCTGAAGCAATCTCTCTCTGTGTCTTTCCGAACTTCGAAGTCAGCACCCAATGAAAAATTAACTTGGGATAACCATCATTCACTAACAACTCAAGATCTACAAACCTTGCCACTGCTGCAGAACACAAGTCAACAATTAAATAATTGGCTTCAGGTTTAATATCAAATACCTGAAGGACTCAAGACTTTAAACTGCAAACGCCTTTATCTTTCTGTCTGCACCAGACACTCTTCCCACTTCTTTTTAATCTTATTTCCTGTGTTTGTGCGTGTCTGATGTCACAGTTTTATTATTTTCTCGAAGTAGTGCGCAATAAAATTCTTCTTTTTGTCACTTCAAAAAACCTTGTGATTTCATAATTTTGAAGTAGTTAATTACATTTTAATCAAGTTGTGATAGTTACATGCTACAGAAGAAATAAAAATATTTGTTGCCACGGACCGAGAGGGGGTTAAAAAGAGGGAAGCTAATGGCTCTCTTTCACTCAGTTGTAACATGACAAAATGAACTTCTTCACTGGCCTGTATACACTTTAAATGTCTATTTATGTGTAGTGCTGTTGATATAAATATTACCCATTTAATTTCAGCCTTATATTTCAGTTTAGTTATGTTATGCCTGTGAGTTGAAAATGCTGGAGTTTGTTACTTAGAAAGTGTATCCAATTCAAGCGCTGTTTCAATTTAGAAAGTGTTAACAATTCCATCAGAGTTATAATCATTAACAGTGCAATCAAACAGTTACGTTGAAGAATAAATTCTATGCACAAAACAGTGCAAATACATGGACTTAATGACAGGTTTATTAATGTTTACATTTACTTCAGAAAGCAGTAAAAATAGGTCTGAAGTATTGTGTAATGTTACAGCATACTAAACTCTTGTAAAACACCTTTATAAAGCAAGCTGGAATAGGGTGCTCAAATTTAAACACCATACTTTAGAAAGGATGTCAAGGCAAGCGCACAATGTTGATTTGTTAGAATAGTATCAGGGGCTAAAAGACTTCAGTTATGTGGAGAGACTAGAGTAACTTGGGCTGTACTCCTTACAGCGGAGAAGCTTGAGAGGGAGATTTGATGGAAGATGGTCAATATCATGAAGGATTTTGATTAAGTAAATAAGGAGAGGCTACTTTCTTTGGCAGAAGGGTCGGTAACTAGGAAACACAGATTTAAGGTCAATGGCAAAAGAACTAGAGGAGAGATGAGCAAAAAAAAAATAACAGTGAGCAATGGTTATCTGAAAATCACTGTCTAAAAGGGTAGATGAAGTAGATTCAATTGTAACTACCTCTGCATGTGGCTACGTGAGGTTTTGCCTGATTGTACTTCTGTGAAGTGCATTTGACCTTTTCCCTATTTTAAAGTGCTTTATAACTGTATGAGCCAGCAGTGACATTACCACCAGAGTCAGGAGATTAAGTTCAACAGATGAAATGAGACTGACAGTCAACTGCACTCAGCTGACAATCAAAAATGAATCCTTATTAAAGACCTACAGGCAGACCTGAGCTTGAAAACAGGGGAACCACCAGAATATTATATGAAATGTCAGGAACAATGTCTGTTTTGAAGCCACTGAAGCACCACATCATGACATTTTAGGGATACCATCATAGTGTTGTACACTTTGAATCCAAAATATGAAACGCTATATTTATACAGCAGTCTAAAGCTGTAGTTTCACTTCCAACAATGCAGTATACTCCATGGTCAGAATACTAGCAGGAATCCCTGTCCAGACAGCAACTTCAGTGTTAAAACTGTCAATCTATTAAGACACATCAATGAGCAGTAGCAAGAACTAAATAGACTTTGAGAGCACAGTGAAAGAAAAGGAATAGGCATAAGCAGCAATCCATATTCAGGATCGCAACAAAACAATACTACAGATGCACAAGAAAATTATAGACTCATAGGGTCATATAGCACAGAAACAGACCCAGGCATCCTAAACTGAACTAGTTCTATTTGCCTGCTTTTGGCCCATATCCAGCTAAACTTTTCCTATTCACAAACCTGTCCAATTGTCTCTTAAATCCTGTAATCGTATCCACCTCTATCTCTTCCCCTGGCAGCTCATTCCAAACAGGCACCACCCTCTGTATGAAAAAGTGATCCCCTCAGGTCCCTTTTAAATCTTTCTCCTCTCACCTTTAAACTATGCCCTCTAGTTTTGGACTCCCTCACCCTTGGAAAAAGACGTTAATTATTCATCTTACCAGTGTCCCTCATGATTTTATAGACCTCTATATGGTCACCCCTCAGCCTCTCACTTTCCAGGGAAACAAGTCCCAACCTATCCAGCCTCTCCTTATATCTCAAACCCACTAGTCCCAGCAACATCCTTGTCATTTTTTTTCTGTACCTGTTCTAGTTTAACAACATCCTTCCTGTAGCAGGGCAACCAGAATTGAATGTAGTATTCTAAAAGTGGCCTCACCAAGTCTTGTACAGCTGCAACATGATGTCCCAACTCCTATACTCAATGCTTTGACCAATAAAGACAAGCTGCCAAAAGCTTTATTCACCACCCTGTCTACCTGCGACACTACTTTTGTCAGATCACGATTCACTACTCTACTGAAACTCAATCACTCCAAGACATAACTTAATTTAGTAATTTGACCATTCTTTCATTTATTATTACACTTCATTTTCTGAATTGTCCACAGGAAAACAGACATATATTTTCAGATAACAACAATTTGATGGAAGATGGTCAATATCATGAAGGATTTTGATTAAGTAAATAAGGAGAGGCTACTTTTTTTGGCAGAAGGGTCGGTAACTAGGAAACACAGATTTAAGGTCAATGGCAAAAGAACTAGAGGAGAGATGAGCAAAAAAAAACAGTGAGCAATGGTTATCTGAAAATCACTGTCTAAAAGGGTAGATGAAGTAGATTCAATTGTAACTATCTCTGCATGCGGCTACGTGAGGTTTTGCCTGATTGCACCCCCTCCCAATCTTTTTGACGAGTACTGCTTTTAGCTGTGTTCCTGTAATAATCTATTCTAATAGATGATATACAAACATGTGGTTACTGAAATAATTGTAAACAGCAGGGCTTATCGGATTCAGTACGTTGATTCTTTTGAGACATTACTGGAGAACCAAATGCAAGTCTACCAGTTTACAGAAACTCGCCAGCCCTTTAACCACAAGTCTATTCTGCAGAAATGCAAAAAAAAACCCAGCCTTCCGATTTAAAAAAAACGTTGTCTTTCACAGTATCAGGTATACGGTATCCTCCAGGGCTAAGATTTTGTACGCACTCTGTTTCATGCATCTTTAGCACGGTCTGATGTTGCCCAGAAAACATGGAAACTACTTTGAGGCAGTATTAATGCATTCAAGATCAGATGGATAAAAAGTAATGACACTTACCTGTAAAGTCTGATCTTTGTTCCGCTTTTTTATGAGAAAATTTCTGTATAAAAGCGCTTTGGTTTGCTGCCAAATTGCGGCATCTTTTCTCTTCAAACCTCCCATTATTTCAACGATTCAAAAACGGGGGAAAAAATTCCTAAACAATTTTCTATTTTATGTAAACAGCACAAGGACACTTTCCATTAAATTTTGGAAATAAAGGCCCTGAAGTCAACACTACAGCTACTCTACAAGGGGTGGCAGCAGACTGAAGACAGTTGTTTTTACCTAAAGATGCTCACGCATTGACAACGTGGACATTTTAAGGGGGGTTTTCTAAGGTCGCTTTCTTGCACCTTATTAAGAAAAAACTAAACCTCAGGAGACCAAAAGTATAAATTCCACCGATTCCACAGCAAACTGACAGTATGTCATCAAAATCCAAACAACCATATTAACTAAAATTACATTTTAAAACACTGAGCCTGTGTACTACAAGCCTCATAAGCGTGGAGGCAATCCAGGAAGGAAATCGTTCAATAAACTAAACAAACAACAAAGCAGACAAGGCCAGCATTGGGTGGGGTCCAAAGACGGTGTTTGAGATTAGAGTCCTCTCCACCCTTCCTCTAGACAGCTGGAGGGGTTGAAGTGAGATCCCTCACTCCCTCCGACAACCTGGGGGAAATGAGGTAAGGATCGCTGACACTAATAGCTCGGGATGAGAGGGAGTGGGGAGAGAGGACCCTCCCTCTCTGACAGCCCAGGTGGAGGGATAGTGGGGGTGAGGATTCTCTCAATGACAGCCTGAGGGTGGGGGAATGGGGGTGAGGATACGCTCTCTCTGACAGCCCAGGTGAGGATCCCTTACACCCCACGAGAGCTCGGGGGGGTCCCTTTTTCTGTCAGCCTGGGGTGAGGGACCCTCTCAATGACAGCCAGGGGGAGGGGGTGAGGATCCTTTCACTGACAGACTGGGGATGAGGATCTCCCTCTCCCTGATAGCCTGGGGGTGGGGGGCAGTGAGGGGTGAGGATCCCCCTCTTACTCACTGCCTGGGGGTGGGGTTGAGGATCCCCCTCTCACTGACGGCCCGGGGTTGGGGGGTGAGGGGTTGAGGAGCCCCCTCTCACTGACGGCCCGGGGGTGGGGGGGGGGGGGTTGAGGAGCCCCCTCTCACTGACGGCCCGGCGGTGGGGGGGTTGAGGAGCCCCCTCTCACTGACGGCCCGGCAGTGGGGGGCTTGAGGAGCCCCCTCTCACTGACGGCCCGGCGGTGGGGGTTTGATTGATCACTATCAGGCCCCGTTTCCTCTAGAGCTGCAGCAAAGCCCACCGCTCCCTCGTCTACCACAAAGCGCCGACTGATCCGCGACTTCAGGTTGTAAGCTGTTAACTCAGGGCAGAAAGACTCAGAAACACGAAGTGACACGATCTCAGCCTCATCATCTCCAACAATCTAAATCCCGCGAACATTATCCTTCCTCTTCGGGGCTCCAGTACCACCGGGCTACACAAGAGATGCCTCGTCCTCCTCGACCGCCACTGCCCACAGCCGAGGGCGTCCCCTAGTGGCACCTCCATCCCTCTGCCTGACGGTCAGCTCAGCCCCAACCATTGCAAGTTCGTCTTCACTGATTTGCACTGATTCAAGGCGCCTGTCTGCATAGTCCGTAGGAAGTAAATACAACTGAATATTTTCACTAAATAAAAAGATAAAGTGGTGGGGAAATTTCAGGCATACAAATGTGAAACTTGACATTATAATTATATTAACTGGCCATTACTTATCGAGCCACATGCTCAGGATACCTGAATTCTCACCACCAAAGCAAAACCATCTCTCGCTCAGCTCAAGGAAGGTACTCAAATGAGAGGAAGGCGAGAGAACTGTTTCAAAGACTCCCTTAAGTTTTCCCTCAAGAATGGGAACTATAAACTAATGAGCCTTACATCAGTGGTGGGCAAGTTGTTGGAGCATTCTTTGGCACAGGATTTACATGTATTTGGAAAGGCAAGGACTGATTAGGGATAGTCAGCATGGTTTTGTGCTTGGGAGATCATGTCTCACTAACTAAATTGAGTTTTGTGAAGAGGTGACAAAGAAGACTAATGACGGTAAAGCAGTAGAATTTGTCTATATGGTCTTCAGCAAAGCTTTTGACAAGGATCTGCATGGTTGACTGATTAGTAACATTAGATGACATGGGATCCAGGGGAGCTAGCCAGTTGGTATCAAAATTGGCTTGAAGGTAAGAGACAGAGCGTGGTGGTGTAGGGTTGCTTTTTGGACTGGAGGCCTGTGACTAGCAGTGTGCTGGATCTACTGCTTTTTGTCATTTATATAAATGATTTGGATGTGAATGTAGGAGGTATGCTTAGGAAGTTTTCAGGTGACACCAAAATAGGTCAGGTAGTGGACAGTGAAGATTATCACAGAGTACAATGGGACCTTGATCAGATTGGCCAATGGGCTGACAAGTGGCAAATGGAGTTTAATTTAATGTGAGGTGTTTCATTTTGGGAAGGCAAACCAGGGAAGGACTTATACAGTTAATGGTAGGGCCCTGGGGTATATTGCTGAAAAAAGAGACCAAGGGCTACAAGTGCATAGTTTCTTGAAATTGGAGTCACAGGTAGACAGGGTGGTGAAGGTGGTGTTTGGCATGCTTGGCTTCATTGGTCATAACATTAAGTATTGGAGTTGGGATGTCATGTTGCAGCTGTACAGGATGTTGGTGACATTTCCCATGCGCAAAGCTATGTTGACTATCCCTAATCTGTCCTCATTTTCCAAATACATGTAAATATGGTCCCTCAGAATCTCCTCTAACAACTTACCCTCCGCTGATGTAAGACTCACCAGTCTATAGTTCCCAACTATGTTGCATTCTTGAGGGAAAACTTCAGGGAGTCTTTGAAACACTTATTTTGTCTTCTGCTCCTTTGTGTACCTTCCTTGAGCTGAGAAAGGATGTTTTAGAATACTGCGTACAATTCTGGTCATCCTCCTATAAGAAGGATGTTGTTAAACTTGAAAGGATGCAGAAAAGATTTACAAGAATTTTGCTGGGACTGGAGGGTTTGAGTTATAGGAGAGGCTGAATAGGCTGGGGGCTTTTTTCCCGGAGTGTCAGAGGCTGAGGGGTGATCTTATAGAGATTTATACAATCATGGTGGGCATGGATAAAATGAATAGTCAAGGCCTTTTTTCCTAGGGTGGGGAAGTCCAAAACTAGAAGGTATAGGTTTAAGGTGAGAGAGGAAAGATTTTAAAAGCTCTTGACGGGTAACTTACTCATGCAGAAGGTAGTGCGTGTATAGAATGAGCTGCCAGACGAAATGGCGGAGGTGAGTAAAATTACAACATTTAAAAGGCATCTGGATGGGTATATGAATAGGAAGGGTTTAAAAGGATATTGTCCAAATGCTGGCAAATGTGACTAGGTCAGATTGGGATGTCTGGTCGGCACAGACAATTTGGACTGAAGTGTCTGTTTCCGTGCTGTATGACTCTACAACTCTATGTCAATGCATGGGCCACCCTGGCTCAGAGAAACTGACTTGGAGGAAGCCCTTGTCTGAATACAATTCTCTGAGAAAACCCATCAGCAAGAGGAAGTATGGAAAAGGAACCAGATAAAGGAATGCCAGTGATTTCAAGGCATGATTTCAATTCCACCTTCCAGAAATACCTGTCAAATGTGTGGTTGGAGATGCGGCTCTAGGATTGGGCTCATCAGCCACACAAGGACCCACAGAACCCAGGAGCAGTGGCACGGAATTTCGTAGATGGATAATTGTTCTCGTTAATGAGTGACTGATGAATTGTAGAGGAATTGTGCATTTCACTTTAACAGATTAATTCCACGCTCATGTTCCACTAGTCAAAATATTACTGAATGAATTACTTCTTTGATCTCCTCTTCTCCAGATTAATTAGTTGTAGGTGGCTTTCTCTGAAACATAGGAAAGTAATTCAGCATACTTAGCAATCAGACTTTCAAAGTGGACAATACTTTATTTGTTTTGAATCGTTTTCAAAAGTACAAATAAAATTATAAATTCTGTACTGTTGCAGATACAGAAAATAAATACGCAAAGGTTAAAAAAAACTCGACATTTAAATATGTACTTAGTCATTGGAAAGTATTTTTCCCGTGTGCTCACAGTGGGTTGGGCTAAAATATACATTTTTTTCTATCAAAGATCTGACACAGATCTATTGTTTGGTAGCTGGTTAGTCAGAGACGGCTTAATTAGTATGACACCATAATCTGTTATTTTATAAACCGATCCATCTTCTCAAGTTAATATCTGAAGAAGTGTTAGTATGCAGGGGATGACAAACATTTTTAGTAATAAAAACAGAAATTCCTGGAGAAACTCTGGTTGGCAGCATCTGTGGAGAGAGAAACATATTTAACACTTTGAGCATAAAATTATTCTTTTATTTTAGACTCAAAATGCTAACTCTGCTTTGTTGTCCACAAATGCTACCAGACATGTTGAGTTTCTCCAGCATTTTTGACTGTTATTTCAGATATCCAGCATCCGTAATGTTTTCCATTTAACATGATTAATAAGATGCTCTAGTAAATGGACAAAAATCCAAGTCAAAATGGTTGGTAAATCAAACATTGCTGGCATACAATCTGAAACAGAAGAATTAAAAATGACAACCATACATTTTACAAGTTCGTGTAGGGGTGGACACATTATTAAAGTATCAATCTTTTAAATGTGTTAATCTTTGCTACAACAGACAGGAAAAAAGACTGGATGTGTGGCATTTTGGTGCGAAAGGCTCTCAATGGAAATGCTTCAGTCTTGTGCCATTTACTCATTTCATTACATAATTTTAGTGAATTTAGAAAACTGCTTCGTATTCAGACATCTCTTTCAACAGCTCACAAACTGAACAACCAAATAGTTGACAGTGATCCATACAGAACTGTAAGAATGGCTTAAAGAGAGTGCTAACAGTATTCTCAATAATGAGCCTTTTCTAACCAGCATTACTTTATTAGAATTTTGCTACACAGAAATTTCTGTTTTGATAAATTAAAACATTTTACTTCTCATGAACTGATTCGATTTATCCCATCCTCTGCTTACTCCCATATCCCTTAAAATTCCTTTTTTTGGCAATTATCTATAACTCAAAGTTTTCAGCTGAGTCTAGTTAGTGAAGACTTCTCACTTGTTCTCATTGTGAAGAAAGCGTTCAATGATTAGAGAATGTGAGATATTATACTTTTCATTTGCATGCAATCACTTTTGAAAAAAAAGTGAGCTTTTTAATATTCAAATAAATATAGTTATTTTATGATGTCAAGAGGAAATAAAGGAAAACAAGTTTAAAAATAAATAACTCAAATACTCCAGGACTCCAATTTTGAAGGACTCCTCTTATTCCAGAAGAAATACTCAAAAATATTCAAATGAATTAGTCAAATATTATCTTGTGAAAATTATGTTTTATAAAACTGGAAATGCTAAAAAAAATAGAAAAGGCTGTAAACACATGGCAGATCTATTTGTGTACGAGGTCTCCTATTTACAGCTATAAACCTATTACATTTCCTTCAATACATAGTATGTGTATTTGACTCTCTGCACACCCTCACCTTTCTTTTTGTCTTATCCACAGCTGTAAGCGAGCTAACATAGAATTACCAGTTCAGATGAAATGTTTACACCTGTAAAGGCTACTCATTCTTTATATTCACAGCAATGGACAGCTCTGTGTATTAGAGTGTATCCAAATCTATCTGTGCCTAACTCGGGAATGACACTATATCTAATACCCATGATACAACAATGATTCCAGAAGAAATTCATCTTAAACATACAGACAGTTCGACATCAGAAATGATGATTTTTGTCGTACAAAATGTTCATGCTTTGTAAGAAGGACTCCATCCATAACATAAATAATAACATTCACTGATGCAATTTTCATAAATGTACCACATTACATAACTTTTAAGCACATTATATTCATTAAGGACAAATCTCTCAGGCAAGTAAATGGAACAGTTAAAGGAACGATATACAGAAGCAGTTATTTACCATTTACACTTCAAGAAATGAAATGTTCAGTAAGCACTAGTCCAGTCCAGGATAGCTTAATATCCTCTCATATTGCCAACAATGTTAGCTCATGATGGAGATTAGATACTGAAAAACTTGTTGATGTTCTGAATTTTAAACAATAACTTTATTACATTGCTCAAATATTTATTTGAACCAGGATTAATTGTCAGAAAATTACTCCAATTTGTGCACTGTTAACTGTTATGGATAACTGGATAGTGCCTTCAGACCACCAGTAATTGTCATCAGTAATCAATAAAAAGGAATATTGTAACTAGTAGATATTACCCAAGTCATAAGAGAAAAAATGAACTCCAATATGAATTATTAACAATATTTAAATAATGTAATAGTTATATTTATTAAATTCAGAGATTCGTAAATTATTATTCCAGGAGCGCCCCAGTTGCTGATAATTGCTGGTAGCTGATATATATAAACAAATGGTAAAATT